CAAAAAGTGTATAATTTTGTTCATTTTTCTTCTATATTGTCCATCTCTGTATTTCCATTGTTAGTTTCTATTAAGCTTTCTTCAGGTTTGCTAATTCATTTTTTAAGCATTCACAAATCTGCTTTTTAGCCTCTCTATTGAACTGTTCATTTCAGTTATTATGCCCTTCAACTCCAGAATTTTCACTTGGTCTTTTAAAAAATTATTTCTCTTTTTCATTGAAAGTTTTTATTGGCTTATACATTGTTATTATACTTCCTTGTGAATCCTCAAACATGATTTTTTTAGTATTCTGAATACATTTTTAATAGCTGCTTTAAGTCTTTGTCTGCCAAGTCTAACATCTGTACACAATTAAAGACAAATTCCATTAATTTTTTCTCTTGAGTATGGGTTATATATTCTCGTTACTTTGAATATTTTATGACTTTTGGTGAAAATTGAATTTTTTTAACCTAACTCACCTGGATTATAAAAATTGAACATTTTAGATAATATAGGTACTCAGGTTTATAGTTATTTCTTTAAAGATTATTTTCACTTCTTTTTTATTCTTTTTTGCTTCTGTGGCTGAATTGAGTCTTAGAGATTTTCCTCTCTCATAATTGCCATTGCTGATGTGCTGCTAAGAAGATGATAATAGTTTTTATTATGGTTATTTTTTTAAGCCTTGCTTCCTATGTTTTTCTTCTATGTCTCTGTAGTTTTGTGGACAGCTAAGTATTTAACACAGTTTGTGTTCAGATACCTCAAGCTAGCAAGGCTTTCATTCTCTCAGATACACCTTTGTGCGTAGGGTAGGGCATGCAAAGTTTAGGCCACTTTTACATCTACCCCAGCATTTGCTTCTCACTGAGATATTTTGTGTTTATTAAGTGAATATGCACAATTTTATGGTCAATTGAGAGTTTGGGAATATCTTGGTCCTCTTTGGGTTCTTTCACGCCTGTGTGAAGTCTCAGCCAGGAATATACTTGCTTCAATTATGACTGCAACCTCAGGCCATTTTCCTTACCCTTGGTGAAGATTATCACTTACACTGAAAACACCTCTGAGTATGGCTTTTGCTCATTACTCCAAAAAGGTTGGCCTTCTTCAACAATGGCAATGCAGTTACTGACATTTGTACTCTGTCCTGTATAAAACCTCCATGCCAACCAAGCCAAGGTTTGAAATGGGAGTATCCCTGAGCAAGAATATCACAGACCTCTCTTTTCATTCCTAAAGTCAGGATTTTTTCAAGATAAATGCTTCTCAGATAGGCATAGACTGCTGATCAATTTTCAGATTGCTAAAATGGTTTTCTTCATCAATTTTGTCTAGCTTTATAGTTGCTTTTTGAGGAGAGGATCTGCCAACGACCTCATTAAGTCATAGGCTGAAGTGTCACACCTTAGGAGAATTTTATGTAGATTCCCAAGCCAGATAAGAATAATTTAAGGGAGAATGTGTAGATTCATTTTACTTAAGGATGTAACTGCAAAATTTTTAAATAAAATATTACTATCCAATTTATTTAAAATATAAAGTATGATTTACTCTAGAAAAACAAGAATAGCTTAACATTATGTAATATATTCAGAAATGTATTTACATTAATAAATTAAACAAAATTATTTAAATTATTGCAAAAAAGACATTTAATAACAAGAAACACATATTCAGAAAATTAAAAATAGAGATTTTCAAAACTTGCTAAAGTGTATAGATAAAAACCCCTATGATGAATATCACACTTAATGGAGAAACTTTAGAGGTAGTCCCTTTAGTATGAAGAAACAAAGGGATATTTGATGTTCATTATCATTACTAGTGTTTAACCATTGAACTCTGGATCCTTTACCAATTATATAAGAAAAGAAAGAAAGAAAGATGTGCTAAGATGGAAAAGAATATTATAAAACTTTTGTTATATGTAGATAATATGATCAACTACCAAGAGCAAAAACAAAAGTTGCCTGACATAAGATTAACCTGAAGAAATCAATAGAATTTGTTTGTATCAATAAGAAACAGATAAAATGCAATAAAAAACCAAATCTCTTCAAAATAGTAATAAATTTACACATTTTAAAAGTATTAACAAAAATTATAAAAATCCGTGACTATTTTATACATTTTATAAAGTGGATCGAAATTGTATTAATTAATCATAAACTATTCGGTGCTCTTGAGGGGAGAAAATTAATATTGTAAAAGGTCAGTTTCACCCAAATTAATTTATAAATTCTTTGTATCCCTAAATACATTGGGTTACCAAATTCAAGATGAAATTTTTATAAATTCAATTATTTTTATCTCTGACATATATATGAAAACCATATATCTCTGCATAGGTCCATCAACTTTTAACAACATGAACTAAGTCGGAGGACTTACTATAGTAGTTATTAAAGCAATAAATGAATCTGAAAGAAGAGGGACCTCAGAAACACGCACTTACACTCGTGTGAAAATATTGTATAATGTTAGCAACCTAAATTATGAGAAACATGGAATGAATGAATTCATCAATTAAAAGAAAAGTCTTCACATGTACCAAAAACGTCAGAAATCAGAAATAATGGATGACTGGACTGAGACGGTAGAGATGAGAATGGAGCAAAGGAGTCGGACTTTGGAGGCAGTACCAACAAGACTTGTTGATGGCGCAAATACCAGAGTTGGGAAGTGAAAGGATGATGTACTAACGAAAAGAAAATTATAATGAAAGACAGAGTGAGAAGATGTCTGTAGGAGGAGATTCCCTGAAATGCAGAGCACCTTATTCTTAGAGTGAGTAGCAGGGTTGATTTTTGATAGGAGGAATCTAAGAAGAAAACGAGTACATTGTTCTGTTTTATAGCGGAGAGAGACAACAGCAACAACAAACACATGTTCTAATTGCATGAATCCTTTTAAATACAGAGACAAGTAAACATTTAGACAGAACTTATTTGAAAGGCACACAGCCAAATATTAACTGTCTTAACTTACTTAATTTAAGTTACTACTTATTTATGTAATTAGTTTCCTAAGTAGTGAACCATGTCACTATCAGAGTTTTATCTAGAGAGTTTTTTTTTTTCTTACAGTTTTTTTGGTCGCTCAGGTATAAAATATTAACAGAAAGTAATTTTATATCTAAAAACTGTAATTTTGGCCCAGTGCAGTGGATCATACCTGTAATCCTAGCACTTTGTGGGGCTGAGGTGGGCAGATCATCTGAGGTCAGGAGTTCCAAACCAACCTGACCAACATGGAGAAATTCCATCTCAACTAAAAATACAAAATTAGCCAGGCATGGTGGCACATGCCTATAATGCCACCTACTCGGGAGGCTGAAGCAGGAGAATTGCTTGAACCTGGAAGGCAGAGGCTGCAGTGAGCTGAGATCGCACCATTGCACTCCAGACTGGGCAACAAGAGCGAAACTCCTTCTCAAAACAAAACTAAACGAACAAATAAAAGCTGTGATTTTATTTTTTGAAACTCAAACTTGATTAAAATTCAATAAATTTGTGTATATATGGAAACATCTAACTAGCTCTATTTTTTAGGTAGCAGATTTGTTAAAATCAGTATTTTTGTATGTATTTTGCTTTTCTTGTTATTTTCTCTTATGGTGTATTTTTAAACATCATAGATATATCATTTTTTTTACGAAGAAGAGAGAGGAGGAAAAGGAGAATGGATGGTACACAGTGAGCCACTCTCTGAATGTGACAAATAAGGCACATTCAAAGTTGCCACTAAACCTTTCTGGCCTCCACAGATTTTGCAGAATATTAAAGTAGCTCTCTTTTGCAGCAGATAAAGAATTTGCAATTATTCATCAATTTTGTGGTGTCTGTTATTGTTTTAAAAGTGAGACTGGTTGAGCCCAGGCAAAGAATTTAGTAGACTATGTTTACTACGGAGGCTGAGGTTTTCAGACGTTCTTGGCTAACAATGCCAAGGAAGATGACAGCGTGGTTAGACCATGGATGCTATAAGTAATTAAGGCGTGCTAACCCAGACTGATTATTTTAATTATGTGTTGGAACCAGCAGAGAAGGAAAAGAAAGAGGAAAGTAGAGAAGAAACTGCCTAGGAGGCCTGGAGTGATGTGAGTGGTGGTCAGAATAGCTGGTGGTGGTCCCACCTTCGTCAATAACCTCTTTGTGAGATATTGTAGGCTAGATATTTCCACCAATCTGGGTCCTAAGTTTTTATTTTTTAATTTTATTTTTCTATTTTTTGTATAAATTTAAAAAATATTTTATAAATTTAAAAAAGTGTAAAGTGAAATGGTTTGTATACTAGGCTCAATTTGCAGTTTCTTTCCTTTTATTTTACTTCTTGATGTTTTATTACCTTTTTTTTTTTAAATCGAAGAACCTTTTTCTTAAACAAAAAATTAGCCTGAGTCCCCAGCTGCAGAATAGATATAAACAAGCAACTCTAGTTGAATTAGGAGTACCCTCCAGGTACTACAACATATATAGTAAAAAGCAAAAGAGGAAAAGAAAAAGGAAATACAATGAGCCAAATGCCTGCTAGAACATGTTCAACCCTGAGACTGGCTTTTAAAACTTAGTTTCTCTTTGGTCTAAAACTCATTTTATAGATGAAAAAATTTAGATCCAGAGATACATACATTTTCCAAGTTACAAAGGCAATAAGAATTCTAAGATTTGAACTTAGTTTTACAGTTCCAGGAAAGCTCTTCTTTGGGCTAAGACAGGACAAGAGGAATGAGAAATGATGGCCTTGGAAGGCAGACGTCACACTGGCTCACTCCACCTCTTAGTTTCTGTCAGTGCCTCAGATGTTTTCAAAGTTGGGTCATGGGTTGGGCTTATGGACAAGATGTACCAGATACTTAGCCCACCCCTGGACTAACCCATGTTCCCTCCCTTCTAAGTAGTTGGCTTTAAAACAGGTATGACCTAGTAATTAAGGAATAAACAGAGAGCTCTAAGTAGAGTCGAACCTCCTCTCAAAAGTAAACATGACAGGTTGGCTCCAAATAGTCTTACCTCTGTTGGGGCAGTAGCCTTGGTAGCTCTTGCTAAATCCCTGGCTCTTTTCTGTGATTTTGCTTGTTTTTCCCTGGAAGAGGACAAAGAATAGCATAGTTTAAACATTGTTGTTTGCTCAACTTTTAGAAATAGCAGCATACATGGTAAACTTAATTTTACTACTCCTCGGCCTAGTCTGGCATTGTCAAAATTGGAGGTATGTTCAGAAATGGGCACAATACCTAAGATCTCCCCTGAACATTGAAAAATATCTTGAACATCGTATCATTATTATGGTTATTTGAGACAGAGTCTCGCTCTGTCACAAGGCTGGAGTGCAGTGACGCGATCTCAGCTCACTTCAACCTCTGCCTCCTGGGTTCAAGCGATTCTCTTGCCTCAGCCTTCCCCGTAGCTGGGACTACAGGCACACATCACCACACTGAGCTAATTTTTGTATTTTTAGTAGAGACGGGGTTTCACCATGTTAGCCAGAATGGTCTCCATCTCTAGACCTTGTGATCCTCCCACCTCGGCCTCCCAAAGGAACACGGTATTATTGCAGGCAAGAATCTCTACCTTTAACTGCATAACAGACTACCTTCCTGGACTACTTCCAACAGCCAGGTAGTCATCAACTCTCAAAGCTATCTGCACTATTCTTTAAATGCAGTTTTTGAAAGACAATATTCACATTGAAACTGCTTATACTGGTTCTAATTCCAACATCTAGGGACCCACAGAGCCAATCAATTTTCTCTTCCATAAGGCAGTACTTTAGCGATCTAAGGACAGCTTCTATGCCTTGCACAGCCTCCTTCTTTCCAAGCAAAGATACCAATTCTATTCCAACATAATTTACACAAGTAATAAAAATAATAATTGAATGAGGGGCTTCAAAATGATAAACTGTCTTCAGACACTTAAGGCATTTTATCTTTGTTTTGCATTATTTTTCAGTACATTTGTTATATTCATACTTCCAGTCTTATATTAAAACATCTGAAAAAACAAGAAGAAAATTTTATAGTAAATAATACCCTTGCTGGTTTACATTCAGCTTTCAAAAGAAGAAAGAATTATTCAATCTACCCTGGGCCTCCCATCCTCTATTAAATCTTGTCCTGACCTCTTTATCCTCTCACAGTCTCTTCACTAGAAGCAGTGCATGATCAAATGACCTGAGCTTCATTATCCCAATATGATCGATTATGTCAATCCCCAAATTAAATCCCATAACATATACCAAACTGACATTTAAAAAGCCAGTCATAACATAATTATCCTAAAAGTAAGTAAGCTCAGTATTGGCTTGCTACCACGGTTGAAGTTTTGACATTGGTCAAAAATTGAAGCTAACCTTCCTTTTCAAAAACAAATTAGGACACTGGTTGGAGGATTTGCACTTGATAACTCAAGCCTTCTTTTACCTTTGCAGCGACAAGGGAGAGAAGGGAACCAAGTTAAGAAGCATTGGATAGAGATTGGTAAACTTCCAGGATACAAATCCTTTCTGAGTTGCAAGGAGTTGGAAACTATAATCTACCCTTCAGTTCATCTCATCCTGGAGTAACACTAGGTGTCTAAAGACACTGGCAGCTCACAGAATCAGGGTATACCTTGCTTAAGTCCTCAGCCGGTTGGCTGCCACAAGGAGATTCTGGCATCATGCTTAAGCATGATCTTCTCAGCCCCTAGGCTGCAAGCAGAATCAGGTCTTAACAGGCCCAAGGAATCTGACTTTCTTTTTCAAATTCATCTTTTTCCAAAACCAGGAAGTTCAAAGTGGAACTACACCCTCAAAAGACAATAGAGTGCTACAAAAGATACTGATACCAGGTCCTCTGCTGCTTTTGGAATCTTGTTTGAATGATTATTAAAATCTTTCTAGGTGAGTGGCAATTATCCAACTTTACCTGATGGAAGATGTCAGAGTGATCTGCTAAGCACTTTTATTTAACCATTTTGGTTTAGAAAAATGCACTTGAAAGAAAAGAAACAGAATACGTTTACCAGTTCAGAGGCTAGCTGTTCACTCAAACATTGGAAAGAAAGAAAGAAATCTTTACTCACAGTATCATTTTGCATGTGGCACATTTATTGATGAGCTTTATTCCTTCAAGACTCAGAAAAAATTTCTTATCCTGGGGACAGAACAGTTTTCCCTCTTTCATGAATGCCTGAAGCCCATTGCATATTTCCTAAGATAAAGCCAAAAAAAGTTGTGTTAGCTGAAACTACATCAAAACAAAGGTTTGGTTTGACATATATATGTAGATATATGTATATCTACATATATATACATACAATTCAAAGGTTTTATGAAGATTATAGGTATGTAAAGCCCTCAGACAGTGCCTAACACATAGTAAATATTCAATTAATAAATTATCCTCCTTCCTTCTTCTTCTTCCTTTATTATTATTATTATTTTGATGTTGGTGACGATTGTCATTATTATTACTGGAATATGCTAAGATGACACATCTAAAATACCTAGCACACAGTAGGCCAATAGTAATTGCTATGAAAGAAATATGAAAATATTGCTGAAGGACTGAGGCAAGGTGTTTGAGCATTGAACACTATTAAGTGTCTGCTTGCATTTCCCCATGGTGTACTGCAACATATTGGCTCCTAAAAATTTTAACAGTGTTAAGTGAAAAAATGATTTCTTGGTTATATATATTTGGAAAACAATTTCCTAGGCTGGCTTATTTTCTGAAAAGGACATGATGTCCCTTGATACATCATTTGACTTAGAAGCACAGGCAGACTTACCTTAAAGCTAATAAAGCTTAAGATTCGGGGCTGTGGACTGTCACATCCCTTCCAAAGTTCTGGGAGAGGCCTAAGCGTTTTGCATTTTCAAATTTGTGTTATATATTTTAAAAAAGTACCCATACTTCCAATAGTTGCATAAGCCTCCCCTGCTTTTTTCTTTCTTTTTTTTTCTTTCTTTTTTTTTTTTTTTTCTTTTTTTCTTTTTTTTTTTTTTTGGTGTATCCTTTGGAACTATTATTTTACTATTCTGTGAGACATCCTTGAAATCCTGCTATATTTGTTTTGGGCATTTGGTTTTGCAAATATCAATAACTGCATTATGCAAAGTTTAAAGAGGAGAGTGAAAACGTTTTGAATAATAGAATTGGTGGGGGAAAAGAAAGTAGAATGACCTCCAAAAGTGAGAATACTTTCTTTTCATTCATTCAATGCATTTTATTAAAGTCCTGCTATACATCACTCGTTCTTTTTTAGGAGCTTAAAATATGATACACTTGAGCTACCTAGTAAAGTACTACTTTAAAATGTTATGTTCCTTTTTAAGTTAGAAAATTCACTATTTATTTATTTATTTATTTATTTATTTATTTATTTTATAGATGGAGTCTTGCTGTATCACCCAGGCTGGAGTACAGTGGTGTGATCTCAGCTCACTGCAACCTCTGCCTCCCAGGTTCAAGAGATTCTCCTGCCTGAGCCTCCTGAGTAACTGGGACTACAGGTGCATGCTACCATACCTGGCTAATTTTTGCATTTTTAGTAGAGACAGGGTTTCATCATATTGGCCAGGCTGGTCTCAAACTCCTTACCTTAAGTGATCCACTTTCCTCAGCTCCCCAAAGTGCTGGAATTACAAGTATGAGCCACTGCACCCAGTGAAAATCCACTAGGTCTTTAGATTAAGCCTTTGGAATCTAAGGGGATCTTTGCTGATTTTGTTTTGATTTTTCAAAAAAAGAAAAAATCTGCTTCTTGTATCAGGAAACAAAGTTTTGCTTTGACTCTGACAAACACATCCTCTTCCAAAAAATTTACTAAAGGATTCTATTTAGGCACCTATGTCTGTATCTGGGGTGTTTTGTACTTGTTTTTTCTTTTCTTTTCTTTCTTTTGTTGGAGAGTCAGGGTCTCACTACATTGCCCAGTTCAGTCTTGAACTCTGTTAGCCTCCTGTATCTTTATTATCATCATTCAATGAGTCAACAATCACTTATTATTATATTACTATACTTTGCTAGATACCATAGATACAGCATTAAGTAGAACAGGAGTATACTTGCCTGGATGGATAACAATGTACCTAATCTAGTCTCTTAAAAATGGTAGACAGTTGGTAGCATTACAAAATAATTAATGGTGAAGAAGAATAACTAAATAATATCACAGACTAGCCCTGGGAAATTTTACCAGGAACCGCCTGCTAAAACAGCTCTAAGATTATTATCACTACACAGTGACTCCATTGGAGTAGCACAATAGTAATTTCAGGACACAAATTAATAACTGAGCATCTTCAGATCTATCTGATCTCTGACGTCACAGTATCAAATGCCAACTTTGTAAGTCATGCTTACCTTGCTGAGTATAATTGATCCTAAAATCCGTATAATAGAATCAGAGAAGGGCCTGATGTCTTTGTAATAAAAATATATCCCTTATGAAGGAAGTCTTATAGAAAGTGTACAGAAGAAAGACTCATGATAATCCTGGAATAAAGCTCTAAATAATTTTGAGTGTTTATCATAAAAGAGTAGCATCAGGCCAGGTGCAATGGCTCATGCCTGTAATCTCAGCACTTTTGGATGCCAAGGCAGGAGGATTGCCAGAAGTACAAGATTCTCCTGGGTGATATAATAAGACCTTGTCTCTACTTATAAAAGAAAAATTAGAAGAATTGCATCAATCAGAATAATCCCTAAATTGGACTTCTCCAATGTCACTATTAGATAAGAGCTTAATTCCTAGAAAGACTCTCTCTCTTACAAACCGAGCATCAGAGGCCCAAATAACAGGTTAGGAAACTTGTGATTAATCAGTTAAGATGAGATTCAATGCTATTTTTCCGAGTTATGAAATTATCTGATATATTCTCTTAGGAAACAGAAAAACATCATAAAAATGGAAAGACACAGTTGAGTTTTTCTCCTAGCAAAATGGAATACCCTTTCAATTACCCTATAGAGAGGGTTGAAACAGAAGCATATGACCAAATGTCATCCTGAGTTGAGCAGATGACTTTTCAGCAACTGTTAACTTGCAGTCTAACTTCCAGTCCCTGGCTTGTTTTGTTTGTTTTGTCACTGTGCCTGTTATTCTCTTTTTCTCATCATGTTCCAGGAAAACTGAAGCCGAGTTCTCCCCGTTTCCCTCACTGGCGGAGGTCTAATCTGTGGTCCATCTCCAGATATTATAAGACCCTCCATTGCTGGCTGGCATTGCCCTAGCTCAGTGATAAAACACTGACCAGTTTGCTTTTGCCTGCAGAATGACTCTTTGGTGATGACACATTTAAGCATACTTAAAATCCTTGAAGATTACTGTAGTGCTTTCCCCTGTGCTTTAGGTGCATGTTTATGACATTTAACATGGTTTTATGGTGCTAAAAGGAACCCGAGCTACTAAACTTGGAAAATAACAAAAATTGCAGCATCATAAAAAAGACTACATCAATAGTTTTCATTTCTGACACAGTATCAAAAAAGAAGAACACAAAGGTTTCCAACTAAATAATTCCTTCTTTGTGTACTTCTTGACTTTAATACCAATATAAGAAGTCACTGAATTTGTTTTTTAAATATTTTTCAGTGAAATAAAGGTTAATGCTATAAAAATATCAGTGTAAAATTCACAATATCTGCCATAAATTACCAGCCATCACCATGAACCCTGAAAAAAGAAAATGACTTTTTGCAGTGAGATTTATACATAATATCCTTCTTTTTTCCAGTATAAAACATTTAAGTGAGCATGCTCTCTTCCTCCCAAAAGTCCAGCCTTTTTTTACTCTACCAAACTTTCTGGACCTCTCCCTAATCAGCAAACTTAGATGAAATAGTAGAGAACATGATAAAATTCTCTAGACTACTCATGTAAGAAGTTTCTTTAAAAAAATTATTGAAGTGGTCGGGCGCAGTGGCTCACGCCGATAATCCCAGCACTTTGGGAGGCCGAGGCGGGTGGATCACGAGGTCAAGAGATGGAGACCATCCTGGTCAACATAGTGAAACCCCATCTCTACTAAAAATACAAAAATTAGCTGGGCATGGTGGCGCTCGCCTGTAGTCCCAGGTATTCGGGAGGCTGAGGCAGGAGAATTGCCTGAACCCAGGAGGCGGAGGTTGCAGTGAGCCGAGATCTTGCCATTGCACTCCAGCCTGGGTAACAAGAGCGAAACTCCGTCTCAAAAAAATATATATATATATTGAAGCAAAATACAACAAGAGTATTTTAACCATGGTTCTCAGAGTTTCATTGTAAGGAAAAACGGTTTCACCTTTATACTTCTTTAATGTTCATGGCCAGAGATACAGCAAATTTTGCCACATATTCAGCAAAACATTTAAACTTGTGGTTTAAGTGCTGAATTAATAGCATGTATAGCAGTGTATGTATATATAAATACATAAAATATGTGTGTGAGAAAGTAATTGGTCATCTTATCTTTCAAATAGATCAAAAATGTAACTTCTATTAGAAAATGAATTTTTAATTTATCAAACAAAAGAGTTTTCAGAGTTGGTAAAGCACTTTCTTGCCTCTGTGCTCAAAGGTGCTTCTCTCTGGTCTGCTGTAAACTGCAAAGACCTTCACGGTTTGTTCCCCTTAATGACCTTCAGATCCCTATTCTAATAATGTCTCTCCAGAGAAAACTTCCCTGATTATCCTTATGAGCATGGATACCACCTCCATTCTCAGGAATCCTATTCTGCCTCCTGATTATTTTTCTCCTAGCATTTATCATTATTTAATGTACCATAGGTTTTGCTAAGCTACTTATTATAAAACGTAAGTTTCAGGGCAGGAATTTCATCTATTTTGTTTGCTTAAAAATATCTCCAGCATCTTAAACAGGGTCTGACATCTAATAGATGCTCAATAAATATGTATTAGATGAACTATATATGCTGACTATATAAAAGATACAGACCACACTCTTTTGCATAACAATTATTAGACTATTTATTTTAGCTTCCCATGTGTTGCATTATGGTTTGTTCAGATGTTAAATGGAACAATAGTAGTTTGCCAGTTGATTTATTTTTTGTTTATGAAATTTTAAAGTACTTCTTTAACATGGTAAGTTGCCTCTTGCAGACATTCATCATTATTAATACATTGTGTGTGTGTGTGTGTGTGTGAGAGAGAGAGAGAGAGAGAGAGAAACAGAGAGAGAGAGAGAGAGAGAGAGAGAGAGAGAGATTCATGTCTTGATTGATAAAAACTTGTCTGTGTTTTTAACAAAAGCTATTAGTACCTACCAGTATAATATGTTTGTATTATTAACATGAAGGTGTTGGCCACAAATTATTTTTCTTTAGGAATCTTGGAATGAATTCAATGAACAGAAAAAGCAGGACTAACCTGATCTTCATTCTCAGTGGCAGCATCTGGGATGAAAACGTAAAAACCAAAGTTAAGGAAATGTAAAATATTTAATAAATAAAACAAATACTTCATTTAATGCAGTGTCTTGACTGCTTTAATGACAATATGTTGTAAAACCACAAATTGTTTTTGAACACATTAAGATTTACTATGGTAAATAAAAGAAGATTACTGTACCAGGAGATCAGTATATACACTTACAAAGGTCTAACCACATAGAAAATTCCAGTTACCTTAGAAAATAATATTCACTTGAATTCTAACCCCATCAAAATAGCTCATCTTCAAAAGGTCCCATTGGAGTAATAAATGGCAGCCTCCCTTTTAAAATTATAATATAACGTACATGCAAAATACTATACCAATTATAACATAATTTGAAATTATATTATTTAATTTTTGATTTTTCAAATTACATTTCTGAAACTAAATTATAATCATTTAATTTTTGAAATTAATTAATAATTATAACATAATTTTTGAGATAATATTATAGTTTCACTTGAAAACTACAATATAACATTCACCTGAACCTATAATATAGCATTATATTTATAGAATATCTAAAATTTAATTTTCTGAACCTGGCAGTTCTGCCTCCTTATAGGTACCTACACACCTATTTTAGGAAAGTGGGCATTATTTGTATATGATCTCAGACTATCTCTGAGGTTCTCTTTTTTAAAATTTAAATCTTCCAGAGCAACCTAAGTCTAGGCAATTTGTGTTCTCTTAGGGTTAAATAGCAAATGTAAAAATCTACCTTCCAGCTCCCACAAAAGTCCCTTACTCTTTGAGAGAAATACTTTCAATTGATTTAGCATTTGAAAACACAAGACTAAAATAAGCTAGACATTATTGCTTTAAAATAAAAACAGATGATTAAAATTTTAAAAATATTTCATTTATACCTACAGTATTAAAATATGTTATTTACAAGTAAGTTTTAAATGTCTATTACATATATATGTACATGCACTATGAATTGATACATCTGGTAAGAGGAAAATGAAGAAGAATCTATTCAGTTTTCAGAACTAATAAAGAATTAATGAAAGAATTTCTTGTGGATAAAAATGCAGATCTCAAACTACTTGCCATTTCTAAAGATAACAACATAATTATAAAGGCACATATATAAATCTTCAAAACTCTGTGTCTGGCAAGATAGTTCAGAATTATACATACCTACGTAAACAGTTTTTGGCAGGAGTAGGGGTAGAAAAGTCCCTTCCCCAGGGCTTTGAGCCATATGGCAAGAGGCTTAGATTATACACAAATTGCTCACCTTGTATAAGGCAAAGAGCCAAGGGCAGAAGCACGGACACTGTGACTGTCTTCATGTTGAAGATGATGCAAGTTGCCTACAGGTCCACTCCGTGCATTGCTCAGCAGGTGCAATGTGACTGAACTCGGCCAGATGAAATTTACTTGTATAAATACTCAAGCCCTGGTGACACCCACATAAAACCAGTTGTTCAAGGTCACAGGATGTACATACCACACCACTTTAACTTCCTTTATTCTTTTTTTTTTTTTTTTTTTTTTTTAGATGGAGTCTCACTGTGTGGCAACCGTGGCTCATTGCAACCCCTGTCTCCTGGCTTCAAGCATTTCTCCAGCCTCAGCCTCCCAAGTAGCTGGGATTACAGGCACCCACTGCCACGCCTGGCTAATTTTTGTAATTTTAGTGGAGACGGGGTTTCACCGTGTTGGACAGGCTGGTCTCGAACTCCTGACCTTAAAGTGATCCCCCCACCTCAGGCTCCCAAAGTGCTGAGATTGCAGGCGTGAGTCACTGCACCCAGCTAGCTTCCGTTTTTTAGGATCCCTTCATAAGTGGGAGGAGAGAGGAAAGAAAGACAGATTGGTTGTCCTACCAGTCAGGTATAGATTTAAAGATTCCCACATCTCGAGAAACCCAGGTTCCTGCTGCTTTCATTTGTAGATGTTCTGAAGTCTCTGAGTTCAGTGTCACAGACTCATATATATGTTAGAGCTGAACGACTCTAAAATATAACATAGCAAAATTCTCATGTTGAATATATGGAGCAATGTCTCAGAGGAGCAATGTCTTTCTCATAAGCAGACAGTTTAGATGGAACAGGCAGAGGAGGCATCCAGCACTTGTAAGCAGACCACATATATAGCATTCTTTCCTCTCTGTATACTGCTTCACCCTTATACATTAAAAAAGGCAGAAACTTGGGAAAAATAAAGCTTGTATGTAACTGCTTTTTAAAATTCTCCATCTGAAGGATATTTTATATCTTGAAGCCTTACTTTATATTCTAGTCAAGCATCATAATCACAAACATTGGAGACTCGGTTTAACTTTCCATAGCCCATGCTTACCCACATTACTGTTTGAAAATTTTGGCTCCATCAGTTCTCCCTAAATTAGATTTCTTCCTGTATCATCCCATTATTTAGTCTCCTAAAAAGTAAAGAAGAAACAAGCTGTAAAATTTATAAATATGTAAATGTAACATTTTCTGAACAAAGTTTCTTCTCCTTAGTTTCTTCTTTCATCCTACAAGTAATACCTTTTTTCTACCAGCTTATTTTGCCCTAATAGCCTAAGGAAGCACCTGAAGAAACATGTGAAGATGACTGAAACCAGAGCCAAATTGTTTCATTCCAGTACTTCTCAGGGTCTTCACATCCATAGAAGGAATGTTTGAGACTTTAAGCAACCAAAGGCCTTTTTATGATGGTTCCAAAAAACTGATCAAGGTTAGTCAACTTTGGGACTACGCCAATATTCTGAGATTTATCTAAGTGAGATAATATGTCCTTTTTTTTTCTCATGAGATAATTTATTTCCTATAAAAATATAATCATTGAGCTGGGTACAGTGACTCATGTCTGTAATCTCAGCACTTTGAGAGGATGAGGTGGCTGGATCATGAGGTCAGGAGATCGAGACCGTCCTGGCCAACATGGTGAAACACAAAACGCAAAAACACAAAAAAATTAGCTGGGCATGGTGGTGCTTGCCTATGATCCCAGCTACGCGGGAGGCTAAGGCTGGGGAATCACTTGAACTCAGAAGGCAGAGATTGCAGTGAGCCAAGATAGAGCCACTGCACTTCAGGCTGGCGACAAAGCAAGACCCTGTCTAATATATATATATATATATATATATAATCATGGTCTGCACTATTATTGTAGCTTTGCTCCTTCCCAATGGAATAGTAAAATTAGTGACCACAGAGAGCAGGTTCAACTTGCATTACTGTTACAGGTTAGAAAATCAAATTCCATCACAGCTTCAAGAGAAATGAGACAGGGTTTAGAAATCTGTTTCTATTCTATATGATCTTTTCAATTATGTAGGGCTAGAAATGAACCCAGCTTTGGAACAAGGTAGATCTGGGTCCAAATCTGGAGTTGTTAGCCATGTTGCCTTGGGCAAGTCACTTATTTTTTCTAAGCCTCAGTTTCCTAATACATAAAATAAAAATAATAACACCCACATTGTACTAGCATTATGAGGTTTAGAGACAAATCATATACATATATATATATATATATATATATATATATATATACACATATAATCTGTGTGTGTGTGTGTGTGTGTGTGTGTGTGTGTGTGTGTGTGTGTTTGGGAAAGAGAAGAGAGGTGCTTAGAACAAATATCAGGTATATGTGATAAGCTTGATAGTTAATGATAATTGGTCTTGCATTTTTACAACATTGTAATAATGTGGTTGTACTAAATAATTTCTAAGATACCAAGAAAAGTCAACATCTCTTGATTGTGAATTTCACCAATACATTCACATTCACTCAGCATAGAATAACTCCCTCAATACATTTTGAGGTAAAATTAAAGTATAAACATATATGTTCTCTTTTTCCCTTTTAATTGCATTTTAAGCCGTAATGTCAAAACAAATCAAAACATTACCTGTTAAAACTTACATTGCTTGGTTTCAGTCAGCATTGATTTCTTGTGTGTCTCTAAAAGTGCCTTCTAAATATTAGCATATCCATACTAATTTTTTATCTTTCATCTGCCCTGTCAGACCATATGAAATGTGTCCTAACCATATTTTCTGTTATTGATGGTAAAAAAGTTTGATGCCTTAAAATAGAATCAATGATTGTGTATTATGCTTTAGTGACCCTTAGTCTAGCCCAAATGGAGAATATTCCCAGGAGTGGAAATGGTGCTAGAGTGGAACAGAAGAACCAAAAGATGATTGCTTGTCTTAGGAATCTCTCTATGAGGAAACATTGAAGACGTTGGTTTCCTTCTTACTGCAAAAGAGCTCCTCAGTGATGGCAGTCCTTTCTGAAATGATGAATAAAAAGTTTGCAACTGATATCTTTTCCAAACAGAGAAAGTGTTTGGAAATCTTCCAAAAGAAGATTCAGTGAGCACCACCAAAACTGGAAGTACCCATCAGCTGGCTCATTTCCTCAGGGCTTTTTCTTCATTTCATTTTAGGAATGTTGTAAATCCAGAGGTGATTCATCACATGCTCTGTTAATCAGGCTTCATTCCTGAAAATTACTATGGATATTAAATTCAAATGAATGAGACTGAAGTTTTGGAGAACTCGAGTTTGGGTCAGAGTTAGGTTATCAGGGTGTTCTTCTAACCCAGAATGTCATCCTTGTTTTTAACTCTTTCAATTATTCATCAAACACGTAGAAACTCCTTTCCTCTCATTAGAAAGGAGTAGATTTAGATTAAAAAAACTACAAACTTTACAATCTTACACATTTATAAAGGTGGTCAGAATCTGAAGGATACTAACACAGGGGAAAGAAATGAGAAAATTACAAAGATTGCTGTAGATCAATGATGTTAGTACAAAAAAAGGTTATTTCCAAAATATAAAGTTACCATATCATTCTTAAAGTCTTTTGTTTTTCTCTCCAGAGGGATCTTTGATGATGATAATAGTTAATAAATGGCTATAGTCTTTTATGATTGGATTGCCTTCCACAGCTTTGAAAACAACCTGCCGTTCATTAGCTCATTTTATTTGTTTATACAGTGTTGTGAGGCAGCCAATTAGGTGTTATTATCTTTTCCTTACCTGACAAAATTGGTGTCACAAAAAAAACCTGCAGTAGAAACTAGCTGGCATGGTCATCTCAGCCTTGATACTTTCTCACTTTTTATACCCTTAATTTCTCTGAGTTTCTTTGTGGACATTTCACAGACTTTTTTACAGTTCAGGGATAATATAGATATTATAGTGCTATAAACTAGATACAGCCCTATGCAAGCACACACACACACACACACACGCACACACACACACATACACACACACACACACACACACACACACAGAGTCACTTGAGCAAAAAGAGGTATGTTGTACCATGAGTAAAATTTATATATTCTAGTAGATCTTAAAAGATGAAATAATTTCTTTTTTATTTTGTAAATTTTTTATTTGCTTTCCTATAATTTTAATGTTTTTCCCTATCTATTTAACATGTCTGAGTTCTCCTTTGTAAAAGACTCTAGCTGGAAAACAGCCTTTACTCATCTTCTTATCTGGTAATCAACTAACTTCACTCCCTCTGTGGGAATTCCTTTCTGTTTGTCTGGAAAGACTAAGGAACTATAGAGATAAGCATATCATTTTATCTAAGAATAGAATGGGATGGGCATTGTTAGTTTACTGAGTATCTATGTAGATACTGCTATTTATAGATATAATTCTTGCTTTTATTAGATTAGAATTAAGAAGACAGGAGTTTCAATGTCTAATATTTAACTGTATTAATATTTTCATATGGGGTTATATTTTATTTTATTTTATTTTATTTATTTATTTATTTATTTATTTATTTATTTATTTATTTTTTTGAGACAGAGTTTCGCTCTTGTTACCCAGGCTGGAGTGCAATGGCGCAGTCTCGGCTCACTGCAACCTCCGCCTCCTGGGTTCAGGCAATTCTCCTGCCTCAGCCTCCTGAGTAGCTGGGATTACAGGCACGTGCCACCATGCCCAGCCAATTTTTTGTATTTTTTTTTTTTAGTAGAGATGTGGTTTCACTATGTTGACCAGGATGGTCTTGATCTCTTAACCTCGTGATCCACCTGCCTTGGCCTCCCAAAGTGCTGGGATTACAGGCATGAGCCACCACACCCAGCCCATATTTTATTTTTTAAAACAATCAGCTCTTTCCTATAGTTGATATTACTTGAACCCCTGACCCATGGCCCCACACTGTTTGTCACTTAAAAATTTAGTACATTTTAAACTCTCCTGGGATTTAACTTAACAATAGAAAACAGAGGTTTGAGGAGCTATAGTCTTTCAATAAATCATAATAAATTAATTCTGAAGTAGCTAAGAGTCTACCTAATTTTGGAAAAAAATGCAAATTTTATATGTATAGAGTGTGTGTGTGTGTGTGTGTGTGTACAGTAAGCAAGA